GATAGTAAATTGAATGCACAATCCTGAGCCACTTTGACAATCCTAAGCCATATATATGGCTCAGGATTGTTTTCCCTTATAATTTTGAAATATGATAATATAGAAAACTGTTCAAAATATTTTTTGTTAACTTCACTTTGGAAGATTTCTTTATAGTTGGTAAGTCTTTTATGCAATATTTAGGAGAGGGCGTAAGAGTACTATTGTGATGGATCAGGTTTGTATGAATCGTTGAAATGTAGTTCCTGAACAATCCACTGAGGGTGTTTACATCAACATGAATTATATACAAGTATATACTTCTAAATCATACAGTTCTAAGCCTATTTCATGCGGCAACAGTGTTAGTTTGTGATTAGTGCTTTCTATTAAATGTGCCTAAGAATGTCTGAAAGAAGTAAAAGAATTGCTCTTCTGGGCAAACAAAATGCAATAAAAAGTAAGTACCTAGATGTAGCACTTATTTGTAGAACCTTACATTTAAAGAGACTTTCCCTAAAGTCGACCTTTGATAATTGTAATGAAAAAGGATGACTTTCAATGAAAAACAAGGGACATTTTTTGAACAATTTATTTTGAATGACAATTTTTGAAAAACAAAAAAACCGCTACAGTAGCACTTGCACGTTGTATGCCGAATTCGGAAGAAAGTTTTGATCAACTAAACTGAACTACGTTGCCGGCGGAAGAAATTTTCGAGCAAGTGGCAAGTGCAGCAATTTTTATTGATATAATTTTTTAAAAAGGTGGACAGAGGGGAAATCCGGCCGGACAATTAAATTTGCTTTAAAAAGGGACATGTCCGGCTTCATCCGGACGAATGGTAACCCTACTTTCAGGTATTTCCTTATTAAACGATTTTCTCAAAAATTGTGACAAATATGATTTTCTAGTTTTTTTTTTAAGAATTATCAGATAAAAACGATTTAAAAAATATTATTAATGTGGCGGCATGTTACAATTACAGTTTTATATTTAATTAGCAAATAAATTTGTTTTTGTAATTAATATCACATTAATTATAAAATAATTAATATCACATTATATTAAGCTGTATTTATAGTAAATGAGATTAGGGTTAAGTACATCATTAATTATAGAGCTTTAGAAGTAGGTATACGACCGAAAGGGCAAAATTTATTTTAGAACAGGTAAAGAAACGATATAATCAGTATGGGTTAAGTCTTGTTGATCGGTCGTGCTGTCCTGTAAAGAAGCGTTCAATAAAGTTATATTGTTACACGTTGCAATTTTCTTTGGATGAACTCGAAGCACCCATAGTAATTATGATGTGTATACATACACTTACTATTACAAGTAAAAAAAAAATATAAAATAATTTCTAGGAAATAATGCTTAATTTTTGTTAATTATCGATAATACGAAATGTCTTCTGTTTTCCTTGTTTTTGAAATCTGACCCGCAGAATGATTTATCTGTACATTTGTATTATAAATTCTTAAATTTTCTCTAGATGCTTCACCTCAGAATCAATATGATTCACATGATGATGAAGATAAAGAAAATAATTCAATACTTTTTGATAATTTTGAACCTATTTCAAACTGGGTATTGGAAGTTGAGCCAAAAGTTTTACGATCCGAAAACATTGTATCTAAATCGGAAGCATGTAATACATTTGTAGAAATTGACCCCAAGGGTTGTCTGAACCTTGTAAAAAGTAATAATTTAAAAAGAGTACTAGAACAAAATAGAGGTAAAGAAAAAGAAATAGACTCTTTTAATGAACATATTAAGAAAGAACCGGAAATACGTATACCTGAGGATAAAACAATTAATATTTCAAGAAAACTCAAAGATCAAACTGAAAACCTAGGTCAGTTGCAAATTTCACCTAATAATGTCAATTATAATATTTCTTTACAAAAAGAAAAGCCAGACATTTTTACTAATATTAAACAAGGTTTTACTACAAATAATAAAAAAATCAACATAATCTCAGATTATAAATTGGGAAAGGATAATCTCGAATGTCTTAAAATATTGGGCCCAATTAAAGAGAAGAAGAATAAACTGAAGACTGATGCTCAGCAAGAAGACCTATTTATCGAAAAACATCTAGTTCCAGAAGATACCATTGTAAATGAAATAAATCCAACAATTAGTAATATCTTCTTACCACTTGTGACAGTACCACCTAGAGAAGAGGTGGAAAATCTTCCCATATCACATGATCCATCAATCATTATTGAAGAAATCCCTTATGATCCTTACGATATTGACAACTTATTTCAGGAAAATAATGAAAACTTTAATAAACCAAAAGCAACAGAAAATAATATTCTCACCAATCAAGAAGACTTTATAAGTGATAGTGCCTCAGATAATACCGAGGATAACCAGTTTGACGCTTTCTTTGACTCTGACGAAGATCCTGATTACGCTCCCAATGAACCTGATCAGGTATGAATTTCCTACTCTTCTCAATGAGAAAAAATAAAAACTGATTTAAAATCGCAACCCAGGTAACATAAAACTTTTCTTTTTGCAGTGTTCTGAATATTCATCATCAGATTATGAGATACCTCAGATGTCACCAATAAGTTTTTCTGCACATTCATCAACGAACCTTACTGTGGAGGCTCAAATTTTAAAGGTATATTATTTATCATTCCTACATATCTCTTCTTGAGAAAATCATGTCTTACTTTTAGTTAAGTGCATTATAGATATTGACTATCTTTCAATTCAATTTAGATATGTAATCTATCAAAAAAATTAAAAATAATTAATAATATTTTAGACAGTGTCCCTCAAATAAAACTTGTGGGTTGGTGAGAATTTAATTTTACAAATTTTTTATAAATGAGGTAATGGAACATAATAAAGTGACAAATAAGACAACAAATGACTTCGAATTTTCCATAAAAAACTATAGGGTTTGTCAAATTGTTTAAGGTCTCAAGAACAGCACTCACCAAATTATTTTTTTCTAAACTTAAGTATGATTCAAAATTCAGTACAAAGAATTTAGGGGCGTATTTTTGAGGTCAAAATAAGACTTTTTTTCCTATAAACGTGGGTCCACAAATGCTTGGTTTATTTTAGGGAAAAAAGTCTTATTTTGACCTCAAAATAGGCTCTTAAATTCTTTTAAATGAATTTTGAATCACCCTGTATAATAGAAGCAAGCAAGTGTGGCCACTGTATTGATTGTGATGAATATTACACCTGAAATTGCTTTATTTTTTGTTTTAATATTTTCCATTTTAGGATACCAATAATATACCAGTGGAACTGAAAACTCTTGACAATTCACCATTGAAGGAAGTTGAGGTAAATATATTTTTTTGATAGGCGCTTTTATTTTAATCTTATAATTTTATAGGTATGAAAACAGTTACACATAAAACATTTTTCACAGTTTTTTGCCAAATAATGATGAATTTTTTTACTGGAAAAGTTTCTAATTTTTTTTGTTTTCTGAATCATTCTGAATAAAACTGAATGTTTTATCTTCTACCACGAGAGCCAATAAAAACTGACCACAACTATCTCAGACAATAGTTACTTTCATTAAAATTAAATACTTAAAATATACAGGGTGATTCACAAATGGTGACCAAAAACGAAACCTCGTATTCTTTGGTGAATTTTAAGGGGAATCTTTCCTACAATTTTTATCTAGGACACTTCGTTAAATTGCAAAAAGTATTTTAAATTTTTTTAAAGAATTTAAAAAGTAGCAAATGGAATAATTTGAAATTGGGCACATTTATTTATGTAAACATTGTCCAAAATCTGAGGGTTTCTTCTAAAGTTTACATGCTCCAGTGGAGAAGATACAGGGTATGGCATATTTTTCTAAATAAAATTGTACGCCACTGCTTTACGGTAATAACCATGATATTTTCGGATTCATCTTTCAATTTTCTACAAGTTATCTGCTCTCTTATGTTTTTCGAAAAAGCTGATTTTCGAGTAAAACTTAAAAACTAACTGTGAACACACTTCGATAATTGAATGTAATGCTTTTTAAAATTACATAGTGGGTTGTGATAGTAACTTTGACATTCTGAGCAGTTAGAAGAAAGAATTCGTAATGTTTTCATAAGATTCAAGCAACAATAAATTTCGAACAAATTACATTTTTATTACTAAAAAGATGTCGCTCCTTTTTTCATGGTAAAAGAATTATTTTTGAGCATTTACTCAAATAAAATCATGACTAATGTTATTAATTTCTTTATTCAAATAAATAACGGAATGATTAGTGCTTGTCATGTCATTTAAGTAAAAGTGTTTTCAGTTGGTTTTTTAAGTTTTACTCGAAAATAAGGCTATTTTCGAAGAACATAAGAGAGTAGTAATTTGTCGAAAATTGAAAGACAAATCCGAAAATATTATGGTTGTTACCGTAAAGCAGTGACATATTATTTTATTTAGAAAAATAGCCACAGATACCTTGTATCTTCGCCATTGGAGCATGTAAATTTTAGGAAAAGCCCTCAGATTTTGGACAACACTTACATAAATACATGTGTCCAATTTCAAATTATTTCAGTTACTAGCTTTAAAAAAAAATTTAAGACCCTGTATCTTTTAACGAAGCGTCCTGGATAAAAACTTTATAGGAAAGACTCCCCTTAAAATTCACCAAAGAATATGAGGTTTCATTTTTTGGTCACCATCTGTGAATCACCCTGTATAGTTATATTTAAAAGACTAAACACATAGGTATTATGCATAACATAACTTTATTATTTGATTTTTAGGAGGAGGTTGAAAGAATCAAAAGAAAAAATTATACCGATAGAAGAGATTCCTGCTTTTATTGTGAAAAGGAAGTAACTCACTTTGCACGACATTTATTTACTTGGCATAAAGATTGCATAGATGTTCAAAGAATTCTGTCTTACAAGAGTAATTCTAAAGAAAGAAGGCATGCGCTATCAACTATTAAAAAAAAGGGTAATTTTGTGAGGAACCGAACTAAAACTACTTTGAGACCGGTTAAAAGAGCAGGATCAAATAGTCAATCACCGGCTTCTGAGTTTCTTCCATGCTCCCACTGCTTGGGGTTCTATAAGAAGAAAAGTCTATATAGGCATACTAAACAATGCTCAGAAAATCCTGATTTAGGGACAAAAGGTAAAAGGCAAACATCGCAAAGTCTTGGTCAAACAACATTGTTACTTGGAACCTTAATTAAGCACGACGAATTGTTAAAAACGGAGTTATTTCCTCATATGAGGGCCGACGAAATAGGTTTAATAGCCAAAAAAGATCCGCTGATATGTAATTATGCATATTCATATTTAAAAGGACGGAAAAGCAAGGGTAACTTAGATCTAGTAAGACAAGATATGAGACGATTAGCAAAACTTTTGAAATTTGCTAGGCACGAAAATACCGACATAAAAGATCTTATCGATTTATTACGCCCTTGTTTCTTCCAAATTATCATAAAATGCGTAAGTAAAATAGGATGCTATAACAGTGAAACCGATATGTTTGAGTCACCGACTGTAGCCATTAATTTTGGGACTTTGTTAAAGAAATGTTGTGATCTGGCATATATACACTTGATTCAAAAACCAAATACCAATGACCAACGAAAAGAGGTGAAAGTTCTAAAAACTCTTGTGACCTCCCAATGGGCCAACGAAATTTCGGCTCAAGCTTCAACCAATTTAAATTCTAAAAAATGGAATAAGGAAGATCTGCTTCCTCTTACTTCAGATTTAGTGAAATTGAATAATTTTTTAAAAGCCACTGCTGAAGACATGTATGATAAATTAAAAACAGATGAGACAAATTCATTAGCTTACAACTGTCTCAAGGACGTACTGTACATCCAAATAATATTACTTAATAGAAAACGACCAGCTGAGGTGGCACAATTAAAAGTTGAAACATACAAATCTATTAATTTGGATTATAAGGGGATAAATGAATTCGAAAGTTGTTTGACCGAGATTGAAAAAATGCTACTGAGTTCGTACAGCCGAATTGTTATCAGGGGCAAAAGAGGTCGAGGAGTACCCATATTACTCTCAAAAAATATGAAAAAATATTTTGATTTATTGGTTGAGGTAAGAGATAACTATATTAATGGCAATGATTACATCTTTCACACCAATGGCCGAAACTGTATTGATGGAACTAAAATATTGTATAAATATGCGAAAAAATGTGGAGTACAGTATCCAGAATACATCAATGCAACAAGGTTGCGAAAGCATTTAGCTACAATTACGCAGTTACTGCAATTTTCGGAGAAAGATCTGGAGCAACTCGCAAAATTTATGGGCCATACGTTAAATATTCATTGCAATACCTATAGATTATCAGACAATTTATATCAAACAGCCAAGGTGTCTAAACTATTGCTACTTGCGTCAGAAGGAGGAATAGAACAATACAAAGGTATGAATTTAGATGACATAAATATGGATTTAAACCCCATTTCTGAAGAACACGATCGTGTCGAGGATATAATTGCCGAAGTCAATGAAAAAACCATAAGGGATTCTCAATTACCTTATGAAGATACAATACAAGTTGACAACACAGAACACGCTACTACACAATTCATAGAAACAAAAACAGAAGCCGTAAAGAAAACTCCCACTCCAAAACAATCATGGACGGTAGAACAAAAAAAAATTATTTTCAATCATTTTTTTAGCCATATAGAAAGTAAACGGGCTCCTAAACTGCATGAAGTTAAAGAATTTCAAGAAAAATATCCTGACAAATTTAAACACAGAAAATGGACGTCAATAAAAGCAGTCGTATTCAACATTTATACAAACAAACTGAAAATGTGAAACAATACTAACTATATGAAAATAGATATATGTATTTGTTTACTATTACTTAATAAATAATAAATATTTTATAACTATGTTTTTAAATATATTATAGAATATTAATTTTACTTTATCAGTGAATAAACAAAAAAAAACAGCTTTACCTAATAAGGGCAGGTGGCTTTAATATATTTAGAAGAAAAACAGTAGAGCAAATCAGAAATATGTCAGATAGGTAAGTCGATAATTTATCAATAATTTATTATTAATTAGGTACCTAACTTCCCAATGAAGTACTAAACTAAAACGTAAATTAAACCTTACCCCAGGAGCCAAAGAAATATTTTATTATTTCATCAAATAATTTCAGACGTGCAATTTTAATAAGCATACAAAATTGTTGTTTAAAAACCAGTTCATTCTTCTTGAGGTTTTTTAATATATGATTTCTTAAGTCTTGATCAGCTTTTAGCTTTTCACTAAGTACATTGATAATGCAAATATTTAATACTACAAAGGAATAATTTCAGGAAAATAAAGTTACCAAATTTCTATTAAGTGGATTTATGAAAAATAATCTCAAATTATCTATTTGAAATGGTACTATAAAGGTAGAGCATTTAGTACTAAATGTTGTGTTTGGAACTTATAGCTGGTAGAAAAATGTAGTCGCTATAAATTATAAATCCTATAATAATATTTACGCAAAGTGCACAGTATTAAAATTGGCAACATTGCCCTGGCTCAAGATTTGCCACTCATTTACATAAATATGTATATTTTGGCTTAAGATTGTTAGAAATTCACATATGGCTCAGGGTGGTACTGTATTTATAAAATATATTTGAATAAACCATTTTTTTTTAAATCCATACTTTTCATGTATACATTTTAAAATCGGCAACACCAATAATAAATGAGTAGACATATTTCACCTCCTTCCACTAAATAGCCAAAATAATTGGTGGATCAGAATTGTATGTATTTCCAAATGGCTCAGTTATGTTCGAAAGATCTATATATATATATATATATAATTGTATATATATATANCCTATATACAGGGTGTTCCTAAATAAGTGTCGCAACGGAAAACTGTAAATTCCTCTTGAAAAGAGAAACATATTTTTCCTCTTCCATTTTTCTCTCCGGGCTTTCGTTTTCGAGATACACGGTGTCAAAACTTTGTTGTTGCAAATGTTGTTAGATTTCGTTAAAATTGTTAATTATTACTACCTATCTTTTGAATCACAAAAGATTTTTGAAACGTTAGCAAAATGTTTGTTTTTGTTCATAAAAAGTCATTTTTCTTGAAAACGGTTGACTTTAGAGCAATGAACCAAGAGAACTATTTTTGTGTAAAATTCATCGGCGCTTCAGAATTTGCTGCTACATGTCAATTTTTCCAGTGGCGTAAAAGTTAGGGGGGGAAAACCCTGAAGATACCTTAAAATCTCCACCACTGGCACGTTCAATGAATTTAAGAAGGCTGTGAAAAAGTAGCTATTAATAGTGGTAATGTGTGTACAAAAACTCGGTCCTGTAGTCCGAACGGTTCTTAATATATTGCCAAAAAATTTAAAAAAATGAAAATTTTGACACCGTGTATCTCGAAAACGAAAACTTGGAGAGAAAAATGAAAGAGGAAAAGAATGTTTCTTTTTTCAAGAGGAATTTACAGTTTTCCGTTGTGACACTTATTTAGGAACACCCTGTATATCGGGTGTCCAGTAAATAATGGGTATCCTTTTAACCGTGGATGGGGGACCCTTAGGTCGTTCAGAAAACTGACTTTTGTCTCGGATATTTAATTTATTTTTCGAAATTTCTGCCATAGGTTATTTTATTGGTCACTACGGCCAGAGTTTAAGATTTTTTTAAACAAGAACTACTATTGCTAGCTAAGAATTCTGATAAGCATCTGATAATAACACAATTCAGGAATATTACGCAAAATAACTGAAAGATAATACTTTCTTTTGTGGCCGGAGTGACCACTAAAGTAACCTATGGCGGAAATTTTGAAAAAAAAATCCAAAATAACTGAAAAAGGACTTTGTACCAGTAGAAAAGTCGATTTTCTGAACGACCTTAGGGTCCCCCGTCCACGGTTAAAAGGTTATCCATTGTTTACAGGACACCCTGTATATATATAACGTGTTAATGGGTGTGTACTCTGCCAGACTTTAATGATGGAATCTACATTACAAATCAATAAATAACCTTAGAAACAGGCATCCGGAAATACTTCACTATTGAGATACAGGGTGTTGAAGTAAAAAAAATCGCATTTTAAATATCCTTTAATATACTTGATGTAGATTGTTGAAGAGAATAGATCTATCATTCAGAAAATTAAAAATTCCTACATTTTTCTGGAAATTTTCACAATTGCATTGTATTTAAAACTATTTCTAATAAAAAAAATTATAATTTTTTTTGACACGTAACAGTTATGTTAATTTTTGGAATAAAATTAAAATATCTTTTTTCTTAGAAGTACTATGGAAATTAAAGGCATATATACCCTTTCTAAAATATTCAGCTTGTCGAAATTCGAGGCTACTTAATGACAAATATTTTCCATATAGCTACTAAGCAAATGTTTGTCATTCCAATCAAGTTTCATCACTATATCAAACACCTTAGGATATACTTAAATAGATGTGATATTTTTATAAATTTAACACCCCATATCTTGAAAACAAAGCGTTTCGGGACACATGTTCATAGGAAGTTTTTTACTGTTTTGTGATGTAAAATTTAGAATTAAAGAAATGGCGGTTGATAAAAATGAAAGCACTCATATTGTGATAAAATATGAGACCCATACCATTTTTTGATGACGTCTGGACTCGACGAACTTCATGAGTTTTGAGAAAAATTTGTGAAAAAAAATTTAATTAAGGGCTGCTGGATCTGATATCTTAATAGTGATTGCACATATATCGTAAAAAATTGTTTTATAATCAACAACAGATAACATTTTTTTAATTTTCTCAAAACTGCCTTTTTCATAGTCACAGCATTGTTGAAGTTTGCAAAATTGAATGTTAGTACATATTAAATTCAGATTTAAATAGTTATTACTACAAAGAAAATTTGGTATTGTAAAAACTGAAAAAAGGCCCGTTTGTATCCAGTGCCGGCTCGGCTGATGCGGGGAGGGGGCTCTGGGGCAGTGCCCCCTTTACAAATTTGCATAGCAAAAAAAAATTTATTTATTTTACAATGTTACCTAGATAATTAGATAGATTAGCCTTATGAACACATTTTAAAAAGGAAATTTTAAATTTGTAATATGCAATCAGTTTAACGTGTAAAATTCATTAATTAAATCTAAAATGTTTATAGTGGTGGTCATGGTTACCATCGCGTAGCAGTGAAAAAATAGTTATTTACCGTTTTTTTTTTCTTATTAAACGTAATTTATTTACATACGTGGAATATTTTGTAACCTACATATTTTCTTGTTTTTTAAAAGATTGTAAAATTTAGATTAGACTGTAAAGAGTGTAAAGACTATCTATGCAATGCCATCTATGAAAAATCAATACCAATAATTTTAATGAAAAAGCTATTGGAAAGTTTTTTATTGGACAAAAGCTGAAGAATAGACTTTCACTATAAAAAAATAATGCACATTTTCCCTATGTTTCAATAGTACCTACTTAAAATAAAACTAAATACACAATTATTTTTGGTTTTTGTTTCAATACTGTGTACCTANCCAGACTGTAATGATGGAATCTACATTACAAATCAATAAATAACCTTAGAAACAGGCATCCGGAAATACTTCGCTATTGAGATACAGGGCGTTGAAGTAAAAAAAATCGCATTTTAAATATCCTTGAAGATACTTGATGTAGATTGATGAAAGGAATTAATCTATCAGTCAGAAAATTAAAAATTCCTACATGAATTTTCTGGGACTTTTCACAATTGCATTGTATTTCATTGAAACTATTTAAACAAAAATTTTATAATTTTTTTTGACATGAAACTAACAGATAAAGTTAATTTTTGGAATAAAATTAAAAATATATTTTTTCTTAGAAGTAGTATGGAAATTAAAGGCACATGTACACTCTAAAATATTCAGCTTGTCGAAATTCTAGGCTACTTCATGACAAATGTTTTCCTATATCTCCAATACTGATTGACATTTATATAGCTACTAAGCAAATTTTTGTTATTCCACTCAACTTTCATCACTGTATATCAAACACCTTAGGATATATTTAAATAAATGTGATATTTTTATAAATTTAACACCCCATATCTTGAAAACAAAACGTTTCGGGACACACATTCATAGGAAGTTTTTTAATGTTTTGTGTTGTAAAATTTAGAATTAAAGCAATGGCGGTTGATATAAATGAAAGCACTCATATTTTGATAAAATTTAAGACCCATACCATTTTTTGATGACGTCTGGACTCGCAACGAAATTCATGAGTTTTGAAAAAAATTTGTGAAACAAAAAATTAAATTAAGGGCTGCTGGATCTGATATCTTAATAGCGATTGCACATATATCGTAAAAAATTGTTTTATAATCAACAACAGATAACATTTTTTAAAATTTTCTCAAAACTGCCTTTTTCATAAAGTTACAGCATTGTTGAAGTTTGAAAAATGGAATGGTAGTATTAAATTCAGATTTAAATAGGTATTACTACAAAGAAAATTTAGTATTGCAAAAACTGAAAAAAGGCCTGTTTGTATCCAGTGCCGGCTCGGCTGATGCGGGGGGCTCTGGGGCAGTGCTCCCTTTACAAATTTGTATAGCAAAAAAAAATTTAAAATTTAGTTTGTAATGTTTCCTAGATAATTAGACAAATTAGCCTTATGAAACACATTAAAAAGGAAATTTTAAATTTGTTATATGCAGTTAGTCAATTAACTCATAAATTCATTTAAAAAACACTAAATACATGAGTTCCTCGTAGCTCGCCCTTAAATCTAAAATGTTTATAGTGGTGGTCTTGGTTATCGTTGCGTAGTAGTGAAAAAATAGTTATTTACCATTTTTTTGTCTTATTAAACATAATTTATTTACATACACGTGTAATATTTTGTTACCTACGTATTGTTTCTTGTGTTTTTTAAAAGATTGTAAAATTTAGATTAGACCGTAAAGACTAATACCACTTGCACTGATATCTATGAAAAATCAATACCAATAATTTTAATGAAAAAGCTATTGGAACGTTTTTTTGGACAAAAGCTGAAGAATGGACTCACTATAAAAAAATAATGTTGAGCACATTTTCCCTATATTTCAATAGTACCTACTTAAAATAAAACTAAATATACAATTATTTTTGGTTTTTGTTTTCAATACTGCGTACCTAAATTTTTCCACCCTCCCTGATATGGAAGTCAAGAGGTGCAGCTGATTGTGAAAAAAAAAAAAAAAATTTGGACATAATGTTTTTATTAGGGTCAGCAACCTCTATTTTTAATTTTTTTTTATTTCACAAATCTCATTGAAAATTTTTCATCACAAATGTTTCCCCTAAAAATACTATGGGTCCCATATTTCATTATCAAAATGTGACCACTTTAATTTTCTCCAATGGTGGCCATTGCATTAAAGGATATACATAAAAGAGTAGAATATATCATTAACACCGTACATACGTGGCCTTCTAGATATATCTGCTGGATACATTATAAAGATCCAGTTGGCAATCCATAGCCTGCTGCCATTTATTATTTTTCGGAAAATCATTAATTTGCAATTTTAAATTAATAATTAACCAAATACTGACAGTGCTAGTTATAACTGGTGAATAATAGAGCCTGCTTTTAAATTATTACAGTTTTTGGCACAGCTGAAACAAAAACTTAATATATTTAAAAATTTAAACCTTTTCAAAAAATGATACTCCATTATAATGGTGAATTTTGAGATACTGGTATGCCGATTAAGACTACTTAGATTTTTAACAAAAAATGCCATGATCTTCTGAAAAGATGGCTTCTAAAAAAAATTGCAGCAGGCCATGAACCATCAACTGTATCATTGCAGTTGGTCCATCATCTGCTAAATCATGCATCTGTGCTATTTCTAATCTGTTGCATTGTAGCACACTAAAGGATTTTTGACAAGTTTACCCTCAATTGTTTAGATCAGTATACTGACGTGTTTTAGAAATTGTGACAAATGTCAAATATTTACTAGGGTGTAAGTTTGTGTTTGCGTATTATTTTTAAATCCGTAAATTGAAAACCTTCAACTATGGTATTGCTTTTTGTGGACTGGGAATGATGTCAAGTTTTAAAAAAGTAGATAAAAAGTACATGCACTTTTTATAAACCAAATTAGATAAATACTCTTGAAACGTGGGTAGTTTCTGTAAACTACTGAGGTGTCAAAATTAAATATGAAAGATTGACATATGCTAACCGAGGTGTGTGTTTTCTGAAAGTAAAAGATGAGTCGCCACGGGACAGGTTTGTCATGGCAATGAAGTTATAATTACAGAACCTTATATCAAAATTTCACTGATTAATACTAATATTACAAAGCTGAGGTGATCTAGCTGGTCCAACAACTACATCTAGAAGGCCACTATATTACATACATAAAAAACATTCATTCAAATTGCACTGTTTACAAATATTTGCCCGACTACAATTAAAAAACTAATGATTTAGGTAACTACAATAATATAATTAAAGCAATATAAACATAATAACATATTTTTATCTCTGTAACCATTTCCACTTCTACAATGACGATGAACAGTGAATTACATCGGAATCCCCAAAAAATTTGATTTACTTTTACGAAATCTTAAATTGAAATGAAATTATATTTTATCAAATTAAGTCATGTTGAAGTGAAATTGGTTAAGTTGTAGGTACTCGCATATCACATTTACACTATTTTGGCATGTGTAACATTTGCTATTGCCTAGACACTCTAATTTACTCCTACATCTCTTAAATCATTTTTTATTTAGATTGATTCAAGTCAGTTGAGCAAAAGAACTATATACCGCAATCTGACAATTTTTATCTAATTATAAACGAGATATAGCCCACAGTATTTTGTTAAAAGACATTAAGGCCAAATTTCCCGTCTGGTTGTTAGTTTTGAGACTCTGAGAAGGGGTTTCAGATTTTTTTCTGAACAGAACGATATGCTTTAGAATGTTGAGAAGTCTACACAAATAATGAAGCAACCAGTCCAGAAATTCTGTAACTAATGGGTAAAGTAAATGGATTTCACAGTCAATCAAAACTAATATCACGGGCATGTATAATGAAAATTTTTTTTAAAGAGCAACGAAAAAAAAAAGAAATTGACAAAATATTTACGCTGCAATTTTGTAGGTAATACGAATCACATCGAAGGCAGTAGCTCATTTCAACACATTTAATTTTATTCATCTCTCTGCTATAACAAATTATACACTTCACTGTAATTCCATGCATTTAATAAAATTTCTAATACGACACATTTTTCAATAAATAAATCGCTTCTAAAATGAAGGTAACAAAAATAAAATTAACAACTAGTAGTTCTATAAAAGTTCTGTACGCAATAAACAACAATATAAATCTAATAAAATTATCACCATTTTACAAACTCTTTGTATTCATCGTTAACAGATATCCTCTTGATGGTTTCGTAACCAACGATTATGCTAAAACTGAAAGTTGCCGACTGAATCAGTCTAGCACTTAAACCTTTGGAGAACATTCTGAGACCCTCCTCCACCCACAAGTCTCTAAAAGCAGATTTCATGGATCCTATTCTTTGTACTTGCAACCTTGCACGAACTACATCTAAAGGATTTGTGAGTATTGTAGTTGTGAAACCACCTAAAGTTCCTGCTGCACTTTGAATCAGCAAATGGGACACCCATGATGGCATTATGGCATACAGTTGATCTAAAGGAAAATGTGACATTTACTGGATAACATGCAATCATTAGTAAGAGTTCCAACTACCAACCTTGATAGAAGTGGTAGAAACCCCACCACAGAGCAGAATTAGGTACATACGCTAATAAACTAGCCCAGTAGCCTCTGTAAAAGCCGGCTATTCCATCCATCTTGAATATATGCTTGGTTACGTCTAAAGTTATACAGAGTTTACTTCGGTCAGGATGCATTTTCAGTCCCAAAGTATTAAATGCCTATAAATCTGTATTATTAGTATGGCACAGTATATTTAGGTTTAAAATTTCATACCATGTTTTCATTTTTTTTTCCAATGCCCATCATCATTAGATGTTGACTAAGAACATCAAACGGTACTATTATAGTTTGTCCTACTAAAGACGCCGCAGCACCAGCTATGAATGCTCTAATATTCGAATTTATGTTTTTCTTATTCAAAACATGTCTGACACCTTCGTAGGTAGATATATAAAAGACTCCTAGGAATGTATTGTAGTTATGTAACACTAATTACATAAAAAAGTTACATACGTACCACTAACAATTTGAACTGAAGATATCCAAAATCCCCGATATAAGCCTCCGAAACCCTCATATTTATAAATTTTTCCATAAGCGTCAAACATACCTAAAATGTAAATATTAAGATTTGATTTTTATACCTCAATGTACTCACCCGTATACAAGTCGTTATGTTTCTGAATCTGCAGCCTAGTTTTTATTAACGTTAAAGGATACAAAGCACATCTTACTGTAAAGGAACTTAACATTGATAAAGGAAAAAATTTTGTCTTGTCCATCATATCCCATTCTATAGTTCTAATAAATCTGTCTTTATTGTCGTCCACAACTGAATAAAACTCCATTATTTTTTACGGAATGATGTAGAAATTATCAAAAAATATTGTGCAATTGAAATATGTTAGGTCCTTTTTTAATGATCATGATTTGGCGTAATAATGGTCTTGTTAACTCATTTTATCTCTCTAAAACTGGAAAGATTTATTAAAAATAAATCGCCACCTGTCACTGAGCAATTGATAATTGACATTTGTCTGACATTCACATGATTCGGTGAAAATGGAAAATCCCTAAAAAAATGTAGCTATTTTTTATTTTGAATGTAATTGCAATAATAGGACTTGCAAATTTTTTATAACGCTAACGCATTCATTTTAAAATGTAATGTGTGTTCTGATATGACATGACTGTCTCGTATGTTTCATACAAAAATTTGAACTGTTAATTCTATGGTCTGGTTGTCTCCATGGTCTGGTTGTTGTGTTGTAGTAAAACGTGTTGCATGTTGCATAATTATCAGATGAGGGCTTTAAAATAACTAAAATTTGAAAAAAGGCTTTATAGGAAAATAATAAATTATCAAGTCAAGATAAAAATTGGTAATAAAACTTTAATTTGAAATAATTTTCCAACAATTTTTATATATTGTAAGGGACACACACAGCAAGGGATATTAATTAATAATAATCAGTATTATTTGAAGCATACATACATAATACCTGTTTTGTGCATAATACCATTTGTTTATATAGTTCAAATTGTATTATATGTTTTGTGGTTCAAATAGTTCAAATGGGAGCTTGTGCCTTATGCATAATAGTTACTTGTAAGGTAAGTAAATACATGTAGGTATATATGGCACATTTATATTTACAATCAATTTTTGAGATACTGCAATTGATGATATATAATAGGTATAAATAATATAATTAATTTTTGTCAATAATTTCAGAAAGACCCTTTGAAGATATATACATTTATTATTTTCTTTTTCTTTTAAAAGCATATGCACTATGAATAAAAACAATATTTGGTAACTTTAAGTAATAATAATAATACACTGCAAGGTGACATTTTCTTTCTAAAAACAAAACGTCTTTAGTAGATGTAGGTACCTATACATATGAGTAACTAAATATTATTATTTATAATATTATTTAGTCATATGGGTATCTACTTTGAATCGAATTTGGGTGATTTTTATTATCATTTTCTGTAATCATGTAGGTTTTAAGTAGGTAATAAATAATAAAAAAAAGTTGTCTTAAATAATAATATTAAAAACACTCTAAGCACAGAATATATAGCTACGCGTAAGCTATATATTCTGTGCTCTAAGTAAATGTAGGTATTTGTTTTCATAGTAAGCTTCATTTTCCGATATTTTCATGCAGTGTGCCCTTGTTTTCTGTGATCTTCCACTGCGATTACTGTGAAATGTGAACGCAATTAAAGGAATCTTTGCGTATTTCAACATTAATTAACTTGGATACTGTGGAAAAGATGGCGACAGTCACAGTGGTCCTCTTCGGATTTTCTTTATAAAAAATTTAAAATAGTGCATAACTAGAGATAGAGATGTGCATACAAACTGGCACAAAATAATTTTGTAAAAATATGCCACCGATTTTTTTTGCTTTTTGTAGCACAATAATGTAGACTGTTAAATACATAGTAAAAGTTGCCTTCTGAGTATGAGCAGTACCGACAAAGAGTGACCTACTTATTTCGGTACTATAAATGCATGAATAATATCGCAGTAGACAAAATAAATTGATAATAAATTAGCTATTATTAAATATTGAGGGCGTAGTTCAATGTCGGAGGGGGTTGTAGTCCGCAGAGTAGTTATTTTCCAGGATACAGTAAATTGAAATAACCTTTTAGCATTTCTAACTTGCTTAGAATTTCTGAAATTCTTATTGGCAAACAACTGCTATAAGTTCACTGAAAATTACATATAAAAACCAGCGGCGGTTCAAGACATTGAGAATAGGTGAAGCATATTCACTGATTGACTAGAAAGTAAGAAAATGCGCCGCAGGCCAAAATTTTAAAATTTTCAAGATCAAATGGCTTTAAATAAATTTGGAAATTTTTAGTTGCATTTGCAATATTACCGAAAAACTGACGTTCGCAAGAAGGATTTTCATTTAGATTTTATAAAAAATGGAAATATTAGTTACATTCTTTGATTTCTTTATCCACATATTGATCGAAATAATCCGAAATGCAGTATATTAATTCATTTTGATTTGCCTTAGAATTAGCAGATAAAACAGAAGATATCTTCTTATAGTGTTCTTAAATGGATGCAGAGCTTATTGATATGAAACATGTCCAAAAGTTCTTTCATGATTGTCCAAACACCGATTTATTGTGGCCTCAAAATAAATAATTGCAAGAATAGGAATTGTATAAACCGTCTATTTAGAAGGACGTTATCGTTAAGCTGTTTAAAATACATCTTGGAAATTTCCCTCAAAGCGTCTTCGATTGTACTGATTCTTCTTAATTCTGCGAATATTAATGCACACCATAAATATGTTCCAAAGAAGCTTCGTGGTTACAGCAGCCTCACGTGACGTTCGCGTGACTTGACGCGATAACGATGCTGCTTCAATTTCCATGTCACTCGTTCTCCCACGCCATGCCCTCCTCACGTGTTGGCCGCCTCGTTGCCATGACAACCGCCGTAAACAATGGTACAAATAGAAGCGGAATACAAACTGATTTCGATCCGTGTCACTTGCGTATACTGTACGTTGTATGGTATGAGGTTGATGTTCGCGCTCAACGAAGACAGTGTTTTTTTAGAAGGCGTTCACCGCGCAACTGTTTTCAATATAGAATTATACCTAAATTATAAAATTTATATAAAATTAAAAATAATTTTAATTTGCACAACCAATTGGAAATTTTAGGTGAAGCGGTACGTCACATGCGTCACCTGGTGACCCGACACTGATAAAAACGTCCCCTTTAAAGCAGTACTGTTATTACATATTATTTATATTAACATGCAATTTGATTTGTTTTTTTGCGAGGATTATTTTGCCAAAGAGCAAAAAAGTGAAACAAAGTTTAATTCTCTATAGAACTTTATTTAAATAAAATATCAAATCAAATTTTCTTGTACAAAAAAGGTACATAAATCTTCCTACGAATTCCTTATGACAAAGAACTCATAAACAAAATCACTAGAAAACCACTCGATTAAAACTAAGATACAAGATATATAAATGAGTGAAAATGGATGAATTATGGCAAATGATCGCGGAGTGTTATTCAGTATGGTGCGATGTCATAAGAATATTAAGTATACATTTCAAATAATACACAAGTGCAAACACATAATATCATAATTATTAGTACACAGCATTCATGTTTTATTACATATATTTGTTATAATTGGCACTGACTCTCCGACGTACACCCTCCCATTTACTCCCGAACTATATATACATACCTACAACACAAAAAATCTAAGTGAGCTGGTAAATCATTATAAAAGTCCAATAATATAACTTATGGCAACATGGTATACGAGTGCTATATAAAAACGATGTGAAATCGATTGCTCTATATACAGTCAACACGCATTACCCCACACTTCTCGCATTCTCCCCGCCATTCATACAGTGAATCTATTCTAAACCTGTAATTTGACCTAGAATGTAGTGACTGCCTACAAGTATAATGTTGTAGGAATACTGGCTCTTCGGTACAGGGCAATATGGTATTTCTTCTGTGCTTTACAAATAAAACATATGCAACATTACGGCACATCGTGAAAACTCCACATAAACCAAATTATACTACAAATTTTTGTAAGATGAGTTCATGCAAAGTTAGTACATTCGAAAGTGGCAGTGGATATAAACAATATAATAGATACAAATATCAATCAAGACACCGACTTGCAACTAAAGCCCATCAACAAGTTCGACAACATATCATCAGTCAGACACTTAAATATAAATAAGTAACAACATTTTACTACTTAGTAACTATACAATAATTATTTAAGTCCATTTTTAACCATAATTTGAATCGTTAATTGACTTTGGTTGTAAGTGGCTCTCTCGATTCGTTTATGTGGCATTTTCTAAGAAATGCGCCTGTAAAAATTTTCTACAATTATTTATATTTGCAGTACAACTGCGGAGACAGTCTTATTGGACACGCAGAACACGTGAAAAGCATTGTTTAGATGGAGGAATGTCTTTCACTAGGGGGTTGACACTTATTCTTCTTCCTGTTCAGTCTCTTCTCCTGGTCCGTACATGTCTGCGAGCTTGTCAAAACGGGGGCCCCAGGCTCCCAGATAGTCGTACTCCTGAGCTTCATCGTCTGTTCCTGAAAACAAAACGGGATGTTCAGATATATCTAATTTTTTAAGAGTACCATCTTCCATCTCAAAACTTTGTATTATGGAAGAAATTGAAAATAACTTTTTTTTCATATTTTTCAGAACAAAATATTGTTGAGTGAAAAACCTGAAGAAACTAGTAATAAAAACTTGAAAAAATAATTATTAAAATATTTTTCCACACATTTTGCTGGAATAAATTTCAATGAATATGAAAATAAATTTTAACAAAATTTATATATTCGAAAATTGAAAAATGTTCTTAAATCCTGAAGCACAAATTAAGAGATTCAAGAAATTAAAAAAATGTAAATATCAAAACGAAACATTTTAATTTTTTATGAGTAAACAATGAAAAGGAACAATATATCATTTTATAAGATAACAAAAAAAAAATAAATTGTGAAGCATCCAAATTTCAACATAAAAACTTATAAACTTGATAAATAATCGATTCTAGAGCAACATGCTTTTAATCTTCATCGGCTTCTTCTAAAATAAATACATCTGATGATTTTCCTATTAAAATAATTACTAAAGGTAATTTTTTTAAATGTATTAATAGGTATATTGACCCTTTTTATCTTGAATTTTTATCCACACATTTTGGATCTCTAGTTATGATGAAATTTAAACTGATAAACCAATTTTTGAATATTATTTTTAAGTACAAAATTTGTCACTTTTTGACCTGTTTACTAACAATTCAAAAGTTGAAACCTAATTTCCAACATTGCATCATTGTTATTCATAGCTTTAAATGTGTTTAAAACTGTTTTAATGAACAAATTCTGATTCTGCCCAGTGTTAGGGATATAGAATGTTCATATTTTATTATTTTTTTTTTTTGTAACTGGAACAAAGAAGAGTACAGAATTTTACTTTCACAGATGAAGTTGGAAAAGTCAAAACATTTACCTATGGAGCAAATTTTCATTTTTCTCAACAGTTGAATTAAACTTCTGCATCAAATATTTATTTTTTTTTGTTGTTTTTTTTTAGATTTTCATATAATTCAAACAGTGTTCGGGAAGGGTATTAATATTTAGTAAAATCGGAAACGTGAAGTTAACTTGGAATACAAATTTAAATTTCACTTTTACATAATTGTGTGTGACACTCACCCAAATTTTCACAATTTAAACTCAGTATGCGAAAGAAAACAAATCTATAGATAGAGAGATGAGATTAAACAAAGATTAAAAATCACTTAGATTTTAGCAGTTATGGGAAGCTTTTCTGACATTTTTTAGTTAAAATTGTATTTATTATCAATTATTCCGACTCTCAACCAGGGTCATTGAGATCATTTTTAATTTTTCAATTTCTATTTATTATTAAACTGTTTTTGAAATAAAACAGCGTTAACATATAAAACGTCTGATCTTTTTGCCATAGTTCAGTATATGAATTTTACATTACTTAAAAGTACTTTTTTCCAAACTTTTTCCTATTACCTACTATTAATGTTGATTTATTATATACTCCACAATTCTTAGTGAGTTTTACATTGTTACTTATTTATTTTTAATTCATTTTTAAAGTTTTTGTTACAATTATAGTTTTGTTACAAAAACCAGACTCGCCTTGCTGCTATGATTATAACAAATATTCCGTTACGATTTAGCATATTTGAGATAAAACTGTCACTCGTTAATTAGGGAGCATTCTTGTCTTGTCATGTACATTTATGTAACACCACTCAAATTATCAACCAATAGCACTAAATTCGTTTCCTCTCGAAGCGGAATTAGTGCAGCCTTCATCAGCTATTAGTGATTAGTGTACAAATTATTTGCGTCGCAATTAAGATTGTGGGTTTCTCTATGCAGGGGTCGTCAAAGTTATTGGGTTCGATTGCGGATTACAGATGCAAATTTCCGATGCAACCCCAGTTTCCGACATCCGCGAGTCAGCCAGTCGTAATCAACATTTAAGCGGACTATTCACTAAATGGAATGCAAGGCACGAAGAAAATAGTGCTGCCTAATTAGAAAACATACGTAAATTGTCCAGTTTTCATTTGTTGTTACTGTGGTTGTGGCTGTTAATTTTTATATTTTTTTATTGGGGTATGTTGCGCATTTTTCATATGTATGTATAAGATTATTTAAATTTCTCGCGCCTCATAGGCAGATCTCAGCTACTCTATGGTGTCGCCCTCTAGGCATGAGAAAATTAACTTCAAATCGACAAAAAGATTGTTTTTTTTCCAGCCTACTTAATTTATCCTATTTGCGTAAATAAATCAAACATGTTTTTAAATATTAAGTTAATGTTTATAAATACCTTCGAAATATGTATGGAAATATTTTAAGTGGTTATGTATACCATTTTAATGTTAACAAACACTAATTTTGATGGAGGGCGTAAGAAACAAGTGAGTAAACGGGATCAGTTTTGAACAGAATAGAAACAAAGAAATGCGTTTAGGGTATTATTTTTTGTCTATACTAATACTTTCTATCTTTCTAAATTAGGCTGGAAAAATTAGCAAAATTTTAACAGCGCAAACCGTTTAAATTCACCGGCAGAAGTGACGACTGCATCTGTAACTGCAACAAAGCATGGCTATCTCTACATGAATATACAGGGTGTCCTAGAATAACGTGTACAACGGAGGATCACGGATTCGTGGACTCGAAATAGCAAGATTTAGGCTAATTCACCTATATCCAAAATCGTTTCGTTTTGCCGCTAGATGGCCTCAAAGTTCGTGAAAATTTTTTGAATTTTGTAAATAACTGGAATAATGATGTATTATTCGATATTGATTATTTTTGGGGTGTGGACTTTTGCCTTCAATCTACACATTTTGGTGTCATACAGTGTTTTTTAAAACTTACAATTCCTACGAAATAGATGTATGGTGATAATATCCGTTCATAACTTTTCCTCTTTCATTCGATAATGATATTATTGAATTATTTATTTATTTGATAGGTGATACCATTTGAAAGTTTTTGTTTTTCTTATTTTATAATTATTATTTTGATTAAATGAGCGGTTTGGGTATAAAAAAATATTTTTTAAATCTACCTATTTTGAGTCCGCGAATCTGTGGTTTTCTGTTGTACACGTTATTCTGGGACACCCTGTAGGTATACATATTATGTAATTATGTTGCCCTTGTCAAAACTATTATAAAGTCATATTATGAATGATAATTAACAACTGATTTTGATTAAAAAAAAATGTAAATTGGTAGGTAATGTCGGATTCAAATGAACTTACATATGTTGTGTATTCGTCAACTTAACTGCTTACATGACTTGTATACAATGTGTATAATGTTGAGGTCAAAATATGATAGTTGGGTCAATCCACTTGCATGGCGTATTCTTTGGCGTTGGTTTTAGAATTTTGGCTTAATATGACGTCATAACACAAATTTTAATGTTTTTTAATGAAGTCAAAATGAAATAAGAAAAAGGACCGGTTGTTTATTTTTAACCTATTTTCATTTTGTGATGTTAAAAAGTAAAAGTATAAGGTAAAAGAGAATAATCAATTTCGACGCCATTAAATATTTTGGAAATTCAAACAAACTTCACTCATTTTTTCCGTAAAATTAGTATTCTTCGAGTTCATATTTTTTCTTAGTTTAATAAGTGCAGGGGTCACTGATAACCTAATCAGTTTTTTACATATCTACTAATTAGTAGATAGGATATTTAAATATCCTCAAATATGTTTTACGTAAAAAATAAACCAATGTACAATTAATTTTATATCATGACCAACATCTATTTGATACAAATTACATTTTGCGTCTAAATTAAAAATAAAGTTGATCGTCGTCTATTTAAAGCACTAAAACTTTAAAGGAATTAATTGTATGAGTTCTAAGAGTAAATGAGTGAAATGTTTTTTATATCACAAAAAAATTAGTGTGAAAGCAATCTTTTACAGCAATTACGTTTTTCTTATTTTAATACAAGAAAAAAAATTAAAACCATAAAAGAGGGGCTGATTAAAATCCGCCTGCTTACCTGATGCAAGTGAACTCAAAGACCCGGCTGTGCTGCCGCCTCCCTCGTAGGCGTAGTTCCTCAGATCGTCGAAAGGTGGCGCATTCGGGTCGCTGTCTGCCCGTTTCTTGTGCTCCTCAATGAAAATGCCTACGTTTGGTTCCTGTCCTACACCCAGTACTGAAACTAAGAAAGAATAGATCATTACTTTAGGATTCTTATTCAATAATTTTTCCCTCTTTAAAGTTTTCAATGTACTTAAAAATTAACACTCTAAACAGTAAAACCTGTATGTAGTATTAGTCGCGTTTATCTTGAAAACGGTTTGTTGTATCAAGTATATCATTTTTATTTAAAAAAGTCTCAAAAACGAGGACAAAAATGAAAAAAGTTGGCCTATATATTTTTGTTGTTGAACGGTTAATGATGTGTTTGAAATTAATCTGTGATCATGGATCTTTGTTAAAAACTATTACTCACATCCTAGCTTGGGTGGGGCGAGTTCCGGTATTGGTCCCCCGATGGGAATTTGCAGGGGGGTGATATCGAAGGCCGTCATGTCATCTTCGCCGCCTCCCTCGTCGTCGTAGTTGATGATGTTCTCGCGGACGTCGTCGTCAGGGCCGGGATACTTGATGTGGGCTTCCCTGCGTCTGTTGTACACCACGAATACTAATACCAGAACTGTGGGAAGATAAAAGTTGGTTAGGACACGTAGGGGAGGCGTCTCAACAGCCTTATACTCATGCTCGAACGCTGATTATTGTGGGAATTGGGAATTGAGAAGTAAATTTGTTCTAATACGTTGCTGAAGAGACTTTTTCTCGGTTATAAGTTGTATCTTGGATATAACTTTTTTGAGAACTTTCGCACATACGATCGTCGAGGAAAATCATGAGAAAGAGGATGTTCCATTAAAAGTGATCCAGAGCTTATTGAGAATATTGAGGTTAAAATAAGTGATTATGCTGAATATACAAGATGTTACAAAGAAGTAGCTCAACTAATATTAAACACAGCTTCTGGACTAGTATACCTAATGAGACTTTCCTTAAACAATTTTTTATTTAGGCGTATCTATCTTGTTTAAGATACATAGTTAAAGTTACAATTAAGGGCGCCATATTCTTTAAATAGTGTTTTGTAACCAAAAAATCGAAATTTTACTATAATGAAAAGAATAAAGGAATATACACTTAACCTGAGAACAATACCTATGAACCATAAGTAGCACTGTTTATTTCTGTTTAAGTCTGCCTAAAATTTCAGCTAAACGTCGTTGACGGGGATAAAATTCTTCTTCAAATTTTTAAAAGAGGCCTTATAGGCGCCTAAATGAAAAGTATTTTTTGCAAAAAGATGACTAAATGGAGAGTGGTATACATATGAAAAACCCTATTATTTTCTGCTAATGAATTCATAGTTAACGGCTTGACCTACTTGTTGCTACACCCTGTACATCTTGTCGGGTTAGTTCTATTCCAGCTAGAGGGCGCCAATGTTAAAAATAAGTATTGGAGCAGGAATTATAAAAAATGGTGTCCAGTTTGTGCATTGGTGTGCAGTTACATCTTTTTAAAATTGCTATTCTAAACTTTGGCTGGTGAAATAGTCGAAATTGTATTTTTAAACTATGAAATTGTTTTATTCATTCATTCAATAAGGCATTTTTGGCTTAATCAATAATTTGAGCGAAGACTGAACTGTGTCCATTCATAATTCATTATTTTGTAACATTGCGGCAACTTAGTGATGTTCCAGAGAGCAATTATTATCGGCCGCTATTGCTTTGAGCGTTTTATATTTTTTTTACTTCACCTTCCCTCATTTCCCACAATAGTCAGGCGTCAAATACGAATGACGATTATACGTCTGACAGTATTCCATCGTTCGGGGAAAATAAATTCACCGTTCACCGATGAAAATCCGACAAACACTTATCGCATCCAGTCCAACAGTTCAATTTTCCGTGCTGCACCCAGCGTGCAGCCACGAACTAATTCTAATTCTCGACATGCAGGTTGCGAGAGATGAAAAGCAAGCGCGTGGATTTGCATGTTGAAGACGTGTTGTTTGTGAAGTTATGAAAAGTGATATTCCGACGAATGAATTTTTTTGTTGTTTGGTAGGCCAAGGAAATTTCGTTGTTTGTTTTATCAGTTTTAGTTTTTAGAGATTTTTCCCAAACAACTTTGAAGGTTAATGGAAAGTTTCCTGAATTTTTGGAGCTTTCTTAAAATTTAAAAAATATTTTTTTGAAACATAATCAATAAAAATATATAAACTATTTGTGAAGTGGCGTATTTACTAAACTATCGTTATCATATATTTGTTTTATCGTTTTTAATGTCAATTAATTAATAGAAAAATAAAAATTTTGTTCATTTTAATTAGAAGAAAAAAATTAAAAATTTTATCCTAAAATAATCGAATATTTATCAGTGACTTGTAGTCCAGGCAAGTTAGACCAAAATCACCCAGAATACGGAAATTTTTTTCTGATGAACCGATCGAGTTGCGGTTTTCGCCATTCTCTTCGGAAAAATATCGGGGAAAAAGTCTATATATTACACTTTGGGGCTGGATCGAAACTGCATTGCGGGTGCATAAAGTGCATCTTGGAGTGCATCAATTTTTCCGAATTTTCTAAAAATGGTAATAATTGACTAAAAGTTGTAGAAATTTGTGTGCACGGGTTTTCGGGGTCGGAGATTCCGAATCTGATCCTGAAAAATATGCCTAACGGCCCTGGGTCCCCCCAGGGGGGCAAGCGAGGGGCCTTCTGTAAAACATCGGATAGCTGAGTAATTGTCTTCTAAATTCCCACTCGGGGGTTTTTGGGATCGGGAATCTCGATTCTGACACTGAAACGTATGTAATATATAGACTTTTTTCCTGATATTTTTCCGAAGACAATGCCGAAAACCGCAACTCGATCGGTTCATCAGAAAAAAATTGCTGATTTATTGTCTAACTTGCCTGGTCTATTGTGTTTTTAGAGAGTGAAATTTGCGAAATAAACAATTAAAATAGGGGTGGCCGACCTTGAAATCTTGAAACGGGTTGTATATATTTTTCGTAAAACATTTTTTCATAATCACCTTCAAATAAAAAAAAAATCAAATAGGTGCATTTTTTTAAATTTGTTGCAAAGTGAATTTTTCTTCATAGTGCTATCTATTTAAATTATAATTTGATATTAAGATTCCGTTTCCCAAACATCATAATGTTACAAATTTAAGATTAAAATTTGCTTAAAAATAAGAAAATATATGTTTGTTGTAAATTCGTGCAAAAAAATACTGTTCAAATTTAGTTGCAACCCTTTTCGAGATCTTAGGGTCGACCACCCCTATTGTAATTTTTTATTTCGCAAATTTAGTTCGAAATATTTCACAAAAGTTCTCTGTATGGGCTTAGAAATCATCTCCCAAAGCTCAACATCAAAATACGATCACTAATTTTCGCGATATTTATTGTGATAATGTCAAGACATTTTCTCTCTTGATTCTTAAGTAAGGATTTACCTATCTGTTCTTATTTTACTTTTTTTGCGTCATATAATTCAATACAGGGTGTTGCGGAAAAAGGTACCATACATTCAGAAACTGATGGAACAGAAATATGTTAGGATATATCTTCCCATGGACCATGTTAGTGTTGTTAGTTTTTGACCATCCACCAGAGGTTGCTAAATACTTTTCCTGTGTCATTTTATAATATAACTTTTATGAGGTTAGGTTTTGTATCACAGTGTAAAATTTCTTCTTCTTTACATAAAAGGTACTCTCGTTAAAATTGTTAGTCATACTTACTTAATAATAGCTAGTTTGGGTGAAGACAAAATGACAAATCAATTTAGATCGAGTTGCCTAAAGTATAATTAAAAAAAAATTATTCCATTTTAACTAATAATTACCTACTACATAACTTTTTAAAGAAGCAGAATTTTACGAAGGTAAATTGACAAAAAAGTATGTTTTCAGCGGATTTTATATAAAATGAAATTATATGTTGTAATTCAGAACATGCATTGTAATGAACCTAACCTCAAAAATGTTGTCAGCAAATGTTACTAGAAAAGGTCATAGCTGGCGATATCTATCAGATGGTAGAACTAATCACATTGACGTAATTAACACATTTAAAAATTGAAATTTGTACCTAATTTCATTACATTGTTTTTTAGACAGGAAATAAGGGACTGTTGGACACGCCTCCTAGAAAAAATCTTATTTTTTATTGACTTTTTCCAAAACACCATGTGTAACAAGATTTGAAATTTAAAAATTTGGAAAAACCGGAAAAATGTAGTAAAAACTCCCAAGCAGAAACCAAAACATTGTAAAAATTGGGAAAATGAAAGGACCTCGAAATAAAATACTTAAAATAATTATTTGTTGGAATAAATAAGTAGTATAAAAATAATATATTTTAACTTTTACATTAACTAATCATTTTTTGTGGCTCTGTACAATGTTCTGTTAGAATGTTAGGATGTTAGAATCCCGTATACTGAAATGAAAATTAGTATTATCAGATTTTCTCTTAAAAAAATCGTCTAATACGATTTTCCAATATTTGGCAAAATACATGTCCCTAAATTAGATAGAGAACAAAATACTGTATACTAATATATTATTTATATTAAATACTTGGAATACAACTAGTTCAACAAGAACAATTATGTCACATTTTTTATGTTTTTTCTCAATATTTCTGGGATTTTTTTTCCAAAACTAATTTTTTAGGAAATTTAGAATCTCTGGACAAGATAGAGATATAGTATACAGGGTGTTTGTAAATAAGTGCGAAATATTTTAGGGGGTGGATGCCGAAGTTATTTTGTGAAAAAAAGTTCATATATACGTAGGTCGAAATATGCTTTGTTTCCGAGATACAGAGTGTTTAAATTTAAATTTTTTATTTATTTTAATTAATTACTTCCAAGAGTTTTAAAAATATTGACTCGAACTTTGAAAAACGCTTTGGAGGGATAAATGTGCATTTTTGGGGAGATCTGACAATGAATATTCCTACTTCCACCAGTGACGTTCGTGCGAGAATGCCACAACCTTTTATAATAAAAAAATGGTACGCCACTGATTTTTCCCGTTTGGTATTTTTTTAGAAATCCGCCATCAATTTGAATGAAATTGGCCTCTTCAATTGTTTTCATAGGATGTACCGTTATTTGAGGAAAAAATAAAACATATTTTATTGCAAGTTGTGTATTCTTAATTTCTATTGATACAATCTAGTAGGTTGCTGTCAATATATTTAAAACTCTTTGAAATAATTAATAAAAATAAATAAAAAATTTGAACACCCTGTATCTTGGAAACGAATAATATTTCTACCTACGTTTATATGAACTTTTTTCACAAAATAACTTCGTCAATCACCCCCTAAAGTATTTCGCACTTATTTACAAACACCCTGTATAATGTTATAAGAGAGTATGGTTTTGACAGAAAAATATTTTTCGAGCATTTGCTTTTTACTATTAAAATCAGAACTTATTTTCTTTTCTTGCTTAAACCAACAGCTTAGCTGGAAAGGTTTAAGTAATTTTACCTTTCGGAAATACAAAATCGAGGCAAATATTTTGACAGGTTTTGGTATTTGACAAGATTATATCACGAACTGTCATATTTACTTATATGTATACAGGTATTTCGAAA